ACCTTGACTCAGTCACACATGGTGCAGCAGGTCCTTCAGCGCTTCGGCTTCACCTGGTCTTCAGCACAGGCCACTCCTCTGGCTACAGGTCACACGCTCTCAGCTCCACCTTCGGACGAGTCCGTAGAGCCGAGTGGTCCTTACCCAGAGCTAGTCGGCTGCCTCATGTACCTGATGACTTGCACTCGACCTGACCTCGCGTACCCTCTTGGTCTCCTGGCTCGCTACGTGGCTCCTGGTCGGCACCGACCTGAGCACATGGCTGCTGCTAAGAGGGTACTGCGTTACTTGTGCAGCACATCAGGCATGGGGCTAGTGCTTGGAGGGACGAGCCCAGTTGTCCTCACTGGGCACTCAGACGCTTCTTGGGTTGACGACCTGGCTACTCAGCGGTCGTCACAGGGTTACACCTTCAGCCTTGGCTCTGGTTCAGTTTCGTGGCGTTCTACACGCTCGTCTTCAGTTCTCGGCTCCAGTTGTGAGGCTGAGATCTACGCCACCGCCATGGCTGCACAGGAGTTACGCTGGCTCACCTACCTGCTGACTGACTTGGGAGAGCAGCCTCGTTCTCCTCCAGTGCTGTACGTTGACAACAAGGCCGCCATTGCCTTGTGTGAGGAGCACAGACTGGAGCACAGAACGAAGCACATTGCTCTGCGTTACTTCCTGGCTCGAGAGTTGCAGCAGCGAGGCCAGCTTCGTCTTCGCCACGTGGCCACTCGGGCCAACACTGCTGATATATTCACCAAGGCACTTCCGTCTGGTGATCATCAGCGCTTTTGTACTCTGTTGGGCCTTGTGCCTACGTTTCCACACTTGTTGTAGTCTCTGCTTGTACTGTGATCTGTACATATATATATATATATATATATGCATGCTGGCTCTTGCTAGGTAGCCATCACTGTACTGTTATTGCTGCATATATATCTCTGCATGTGAACTGGCCCTGTGGCCCTTTGCTTGTGCTCGGAATGCGTGGTGACGTTGTGATCCACCCTGAGCTTGTTTTGCTTCTCTTGACTGGTCGTGTGACCCCTTGTTCTCCCCCACTTTGCCTATGGGGGTATGTCAAACTATATGTGCTGCATATTGTCTAGGCTGTAGTGGGGTAGCCCATATGGGGTACAACCCAATGTTAGGGTTAGCTTATGTACCCAACTCTTGATCAATGCATTCATTCTTGTCTCTAGATTCTAACACCCCCCCCCTCGGTACCCCCCCAAATCTCACCTCCTTCCCCACAGTCGTCCTCACAGCCTCCGCAGCAGCCGTCAGCGCTTCCTTTACCGGCCACTGCGGACTCTGAGGGTGTTGGTGCTCGGGGTGAGGGCTCTGGCGGTGCTCGCTCTGGGGGTGCTGGCGTTGGAGCTGTTAGTGCACCTACAGGAGCCGCCCGTTCTGGGGGTGTTGGCGTTGGCGCTGAGCGTGCACCCGCCGCGGCTGCCCGTTCTGGTGGTGCTGGAGCTGGTGGTGTTTCTGGAGCTGGAGAGTCTGAGGCTGGTGCTGGTGCCACTGGAGGCACCCCGACTGGGGGTGCGGGTCCACCTCCTACAGGTACTAGTCGTGCTGCCGCAGGGGGTACACGCTCTGGGGGTTCTCAGCCGGGTGCTGTTGAGGGTGGAGCCGGTTCTTCTTCTTCGTCTCCTGACACCACTCCTCCTCCTCACCCCTACCTGACTCGACACCAGACCCGTCTTCGTCTTGAGCGTGAGGAGCAGCAGCGTTTGGAGCGTGAGAGGTTGGAGGTTCAGCAGCGGGTGGAGCGTGAGAGGCTGGAGTTGCAGCGGGAGCAGCAGCAGCAGCAGCAGCAGCAGCAGCAGCAGCAGCAGCAGCAGCAGCCGCCGCAGCAGCCGGAGCAGCCTCCGGCCTCTGTTACTGGCCTCAGGGCCCTTGGTCTCCCCTCCTCCTCTCCTCCTGTGTTCGGTCCGACGTTTCCTCCTCCGGACTCAGCTCCGGCTGTGTTCCCTCGTTCTCAGTCTCCTCCGTCTCCCGCTCCGTCTCCCACTCCTCTCTCCCACACTTGGGCCTCTCGTCCTCCTCGTGCTCGTCCCTCGTCACCTGTCCGTGACCTTCGTACCGTGTTGTTTCGTCCTAGTCCTCCTCGTTCTCCTCCGTCTGTTCTTCCTCGTCCTCCTGAGTCGTCCCTCACTGCCTCCCTGTCTACTCCGGTCACTGACTACTACCGCACGTACCGCCCCACTCTCTCTCGTGTTCTCGCCTCTCTTGTTACAGACCCTCGTGCCTCTCCTTCCTCCGTCGCGGTCCTCACTGCCGCTGTCACAGACTTTACTGCTACGCGTCGCCTTGACTACGCCACTCGCGTTGTGGCGGCTCCTCCTGTCCGTCCTCTGTCCGCCGGGGGTGAGTTTGCCCTTGGCTGTGCCGTCCTAGAGGATAGACAGTTTGAGCTAGAGTTCCTGGCAGCCGCTTCACCTCATCTCTGTGCCATGCTGCTCGCTCCTGAGGGAGACCCCGACGCTCCTGACATACCTACTCCTCGCACTTACGCTGAGGCAGTGTCAGGGCCTTGGGCCTCTCAGTGGAGAGCTGCCATGGACGCAGAGATGGCCTCCTACAGGTCCACAGGCACTTACGTTGACGAGGTTCCCCCCCAAGGGGCGAACATTGTTGACGGCATGTGGATCTTCAAGGTGAAGCGGCCGCCGGGATCTCCTCCAGTCTTCAAGGCACGCTACGTGGCTAGAGGTTTCAGTCAGCGTGAGGGAGTTGACTTCTTTCAGACCTTTGCGCCCACCCCGAAGATGACCACTCTTCGGGTGTTACTGCACGTAGCAGCGCAGAGAGACTACGAGCTACACTCTCTCGACTTCTCCACTGCCTTCTTGCAGGGCAGCCTACACGAGGAGATCTGGCTGCGTCGTCCTCCGGGCTTCACTGGCACTTTCCCGCCTGGGACCCAGTGGAGCCTCAGACGACCGGTCTACGGTCTCCGTCAGGCACCCCGTGAGTGGCACGACACTCTCCGCTCTACTCTGTCCGACCTTGGGTTTGAGCCGTCTTCCGCCGACCCGTCGTTGTTTGTTCGTCGTGGGCGCACACCTTTCTTTGTTCTTGTCTACGTTGACGACCTGGTTTTTGCCACAGCCGACACAGTTGCACTGGCGGAGGTGAAGTCCGAACTGCAGAAGAGACACACCTGCACTGACCTTGGGGAACTGCGCCGCTACCTTGGCCTGCAGATCTCCAGGGACAGAGCCGCTCGCACCATCACTCTGACTCAGTCACACATGGTGCAGCAGGTCCTTCAGCGGTTCGGGCTTCAGCACTCCTCTCCTCCTCCCACCCCTCTTGCTGTAGACCACAGACTCACTGGGCCTTTTCCTGACGAGCCGTTCGAGCCCAGTGGTCCCTACGCAGAGTTGGTGGGCTGCCTCATGTACCTGATGACGTGCACTCGCCCGGACCTCGCCTTCCCTCTTAGCATCCTTTCTCGCTTTGTTGCGACAGGGAGACACCGTCCTGTTCACTGGGCGGCGGCTAAGAGGGTGGCGAAGTACCTCGGCGCGACATCAGACATGGGGCTTGTACTTGGAGGGACACAGCCAGTTGTACTCACCGGTCACTGCGACTCCTCCTACGCCGACGACGTTGAGTCACAGAGGTCTACACAGGGTTACTGTTTCAGTCTGGGCTCTGGAGCTGTTTCGTGGAGGTCTACTCGGTCCTCCTCTGTTGCGACTTCTACCGCAGAGGCCGAGATCTACGCTGGAGCCCTCGCTGCACAGGAGCTACGCTGGTTGACCTTCTTGCTCACTGACCTTGGTGAGCGGCCGAGCTCTGCACCGACCTTGTTTGCTGACAACAAGGCGATGATTCTCCTGTGTCGTGAGCCTCGACTGGAGAGCAGAGTGAAGCACATCGACGTCAGGTACTTCCTCCTTCGAGAGTTGCGTAGACGCGGGCAGGCACGTCTGGACTTCGTGGCCTCCGAGGCCAACACTGCAGACATCTTCACCAAGGCCCTCCAGCCTTGTGACCACCGCCGGTTTTGTCTGCAGTTAGGCCTCGTTGAGACTGGGTCTAGTTGACTGCTGTAGGGTGCTCTTTGTCTGTTGCTTGCTTGTACCTCATATATATTTGTTTGCACACTTTTGGACTGGCCTTGTGGCCCTTTGCTTGTGCTCAGATTAGGTGGTGACGTTGTGATCCACCCTGAGCTTTGTTTTCTTTCTCTTGCTTTTGACTGGTCTTGTGACCGTAGGTTGCTTGTTGTTGATTGGCCTTCCCCACTTAGGCTATGGGGGTGTGTCAAATATTATAGCCTGTAGTGGGTTGGGCTATATGGGGTACAACTAGTTAGGGTTAGGTTATGTACCCCAATTCTGTCAATGCAACACATTCCGCTGTAGTTCTCATTCAGACACTTCTTTCTCCTGTCCCTGCTTTCCACTCCATTGTTTCTTCTCGGACCTTTATTCACTGTCCCCTCTGCTCTCATCCCGTCTCTGCCTTGTGGCTACTGTCCTGCCTCTCCTCTCTGCAGTTAAGAGCAGGGTGCAGAAAAGAGGTGTGCAGTCTGTTTCGGCTGGACATTGATCCAGCTTCCAGGCGTACAACATCCAACAAATTACCAAATGAGTGCTGCTGAATCAGCTTGATAAAAAGGCTTTTCCTGTGGCATTCTTGATATGATTACTTTTCCCCGAGAAGATACAAACTCAGACAGATGTTTTACCTAAATTGAACTGGACTCCACAAGAAAATTATCCATTAAAATCAAAGCACATTCCCTTCGCAGGCATTATCCTGTTCAGGTGGTAAGGGTATACTCTCAGCCATAGGGAGCTAAAGTCTCCCGAGGCACCCCCAGTGCTTCAGTCTATGTAAAAACGAGCAAGAGCGCACACACATTTACACAGACCATGCACTTCCCTTCGCAGGCATTACCCTGGTCAGGTGGTAAGGGTGTGTTCTCAGCCTTCCCGAGCCCCGGGCTAGGCACCCCTAGTGCTGGTAACCACGAACAGGCAAACAGAAACTTAAGCAGAGGCAGGGGTGTCATCGGAGGAAGCAAGAACAAGCTCGGGACGGGCAGAGAGAGCAGACACGGAACCGTCAACCTCATTGGGTAGGCCGAGGGCCTTGAGGGCGAGGTGAGCCGCCTTCTGCCCGGAAACCATCATGGCTCCAAAGGTCGGACCCTGCAAACAGGAGAAAGAAAACCAAACCACAAAAGGTAGCACACCCCACGCACCAGAGAGCATCGGCAAGCCCAAGGTAAAAGATTAGAATCTGAAACAATAACAGAATCAACGGCAAAAGGCTCAGATCCGTACCATACGGGGAGCGCCGTCAACCTCGGCGACCTCCATGCCGGTGACGATCATGCCGGGGACCACCTCGCGGGTGTAACGCACAATCGCGTCCTCAGCAATGTTCATGTCGAGGCACTTCATGCCGGGGACCTTGTCGACCAGGCCGATGCTCTTGAGACGCTTCACGCCGGTGGCGCCGAAGGGGCCGTCGTGGCCGCACGATGAGACCACGACCTTGGCCTCCATGACATTGGGGTCCATGCAGCTCTGTGTGTCGTGGTTCATGGAGACGAGAGCCCAGTTGGTGACGACACCGCCAACCTGTAAGAGCAAGAGGAAGACAAAAACGGCAGTGTTACTAGGATGTGGGGAACTTGAACGAATTTAATCGGGTTGCAACATTCTGCAAGTAGATTGTTAGCAACGAGAACCGAATCGCGAAAGAAAATTGTCAGCTAAGGGAATTATTGACACATCAGCAGGGACTTACACGTCCGTTCTTGATAATGAGGTCCTCCGCGCACACGGCATTGAAGAGCTTCACGTTAGGCCTCGCGAGCAGCTTGCTCATAATCGTCGACGTGAACAGCGCCGCGTGCTTGATCACAACATAGTCCTCCTCCTCATCGTACGCGATCTCGAGCTCGTCGAGGAAGCGGTGCGCGGGCTTGCGGACCACCATGGCGGAGAAGAGCTGTCCGCCGAGCCACGCGCCACCGCCGGGGCTCACAGACTGCTCGATGATGGCGACGTTGACGTTCGGGTTCTTGCTCAGCTCGTACGCGCAGGAGAGGCCGGCGGATCCCGCGCCGACGACGACCACGTCGGTGTCCGCGTAGGTGATCATGTCGGTCATGTACCGACGCGTCATCTCGCGTGCTACGATGGACTCCTTGATCGGCTGGAACTTGAAGTTTTGGAAGTTGTACGCGGAATCCTGGTACATGGCGGAGACGGCCGGCGTGGCGCGGACGGCCTTGGCCTTGGAGGAAGCGACGGAGACGGAGTTCCCGAGGAGCTCCGACTTGCGGAGCGCGACGGCACCCTTGAGGGTGGTCGAGGTGAAGGTGGAGGCCGTGGCGCAAGCCATGATCGGAGACGAGCAAGAAAAGGTCGGGAGAGCAGGGGGATCGGCTCAGCAGAAAAGACTGAATTCTATTATCGAAAAGCTCTGCTCTTATCCTGGCTCGAGCTGCTGCATGCGAGCATCAGGAGGATTTCGGAAGCAGGATGACTCTTGGCGGAAGCGGGGAGGGCCGCGGGGGGGACGGCTATCGGCGGGAGCGATGGTGAGGTGAGGGCGAATGGGAGGAGGGAAGGAGGAGAGGGGAGGGGAGTGGGGACGGCGCATTGCGGAAGAGTATCAAGGGAACTGGGGGAAAATTGGGGGAATGCGAGATAGTTTTTTGGGGCCTGGGGGTAGCACGAATGTTGCAGCAGCAGGCGGAATGTGACGAGGCTGGCTTGAAGGCAGCTGGATGTGTGATTGGATGGTCTCCTGTCCCTTGGATTGAGCCTCATGGGCTTCGCCATCTCTTTTCGTCCCACTGCTGTGTCGACAAAGCGAATTTCGCCAGTGGAGAGTTGCCACGTAGGAATCAAGAGACATCCACTCTACAGCCTACTCATCGGCAATGTCGCCCGTGATTGGAACATGCACCTAGTGATGCCATGTCAGAGGCATCAGCTGCCTTGTTCTTGAATCGAGCTCGTATTAGAGTGAAGTAGCCTTAGCAGTACATTCTGTCATCCACCCTACATGTTCATAAACGTCAACAGTGAATGCCTGCATAGACTACAAACAACTTTCTGAAAATGCTGAATCATGGCTATTTCCAAAGTTGCTGATATATTATTCACCATTTTATTTATCATGGCGTTCCACTCAAAGTGCCAACAAGGCACAGTCCATATATGCACATAAAATGTAACAGCAGTAGAATCAAGTCAAGTGCCAACAAAAAAGGATCTTTCACCAACCACTACTGAATTAGCAGCTCGATTACTTCTGAAGTCCCTCTTATTGGTCTCCATTGCAATGCGGGATCCAAACTGGAGTGTATCACAGTACATGTGAAATAGGTACATGTGTCAATTGCAAGTGAATTGTTCGAGCAAAGCGGCGATGGACCAAGAATATCATTTGAGCAGTTAAGCATTTACACGCATGTACATATAGACAACCTATACCATGGAAGTCCTGCAAATACTTAGTCGAAGCAAGAAATGCATGGCATACCTGAATGGAGCATTTGGGCAATGCAGCAGCTCCTGACAGACCCAGCTTGTGAGCAATCTGGCAAAGTTGATGTGAGGACGATGAGGGGACGATGAGAGTGCCGAGAGAATGGTTCAGAGGTGTATCCACTGTGTCAATGCGAAAAGTTTTGGTTGGAGTTGCAGCAATGTCACATCACAATCACCAAAAGATACTACAGCACGGTCATCAGCATCACCAGCATGCGACTATCAGAATCCCAGCCACTAACCACTGGGATAAAAGGGCTTGTTTGTGTAGCGAGTGAGTGCGCCCATAACCCCCCAGGCCGACGTGCCTGTAACCCTTCCCTAGGATCAATCGGGGATCACCAGTGGACCTCTGACAGCCACCTCCGGGTCACCATAGTGTCGTATTCAAGTCACCTCACAATCAGCAGAAAAACAACAGTGTTCTCCTCACAATATTACATCAGGGTTACCACCATGTCACATCACCATGTCGCATCAGTATCACCACCACACCATGTCACATCACCATGCCGCATCAGTATCACCACCACACCATGTCACATCACCATGTCGCATAAGTATCACCACCACACCATGTCACATCACCATGTTGAATAAGTATCACCATCACACCATATCACATCCGCATCGGTCATGATAGAAGGTCAAAGTTGAGAGATCACCTGTCGCAATATGAGCTTGTCTCCCGTTCTCGGAGGGAGATGCAGGTTGGTGATGCGAGGGAGAGGGAGAGGGAGAGGGAGAGGGAGAGGGAGAGGGAGAGGATTGGAGCAACCTCTACCATTTGACACTCACCTGTCGCAGCACCATCCTGACACCTGTGCCAGGTTGGTGATGCAAGCAGAGGGGGAGCCAGCAATGCACTCATCACCCCCTCGCCTGTTGTGCTTTCCTTGCCTGTGTTTCATATCGACTCCCTTGTGTGTTCTGTACCGGCTCTCATTCTCACCTGTCGCAATATCAGCTTGTCTCCCGTGCCCGGTGGGACGTGCAGGTTGGTGATGAGAGGCAGAGGGAGAGCCAGCAGGGCACCTTTAATTCCCTCGTGTTTTGTATCACCCTCTATCGCATTTTGAATCGATTCATTCGTGTTATGTATCGACTCTATCTGTCACCTGCCGCAAGATAAGCTTGTCTCCCGTGCCCGGTGTCGAAGAGAAAAGGCCCCGCCCTCGCTTGGGCGAAGTCGACCAGGAATTTCGGAACAGAACGGTGTTCGTTTCGTGGTCATCGGCAACTTCGTGGACTTTTATCTGTGTGCGACGAGTCGTTTGTCGACGAGATTATTTGGTCGAGGTAGAAGTGTTTCCTCTGCTCAATCAGAGCTTTCGTCTAGGAGGAGCTCGTCGACGGGAGTAAAACAGCGTCAAAGACGAGCCTTTCTGATAGTCAGAATTGGCAGAATTGGCGTTTCGACGGGATTGGCAGAATTGCTGGTCGACAGAATTTAGTTCGACGAGTGTTTCGTCGAGCAGAGCGATTCTGGTCGACCAGAATTACTTAGCTCCGTGCGCAAATTTCGCCAAATCACGAAACAGCAAATTTCGACCAATCAGGTAATTTCGGAAATTGTACTCCCCAGGAGAATTCGATTCAGTAAGGAAACTGAACCTGAAACACGTTTTTACTAACAGTAAAAACGTGCACAACTATGAACGTTGTAAACCTGAGAAACTACCAACTCAGGTGAAATCTGCATGCGTTTGTCGTTTCACATGCCATTGCTGACTCGACAGATTCAGGTGCTTGTCGAGGAACGTTTCTACAGGGATTGTTGTCTTTGCTATTTGGTTCTCCTTGCTTGTACCATATTCTTGTTCAATCACTTTTTGCTAGAGGAACTATGATTGAATTCTACCAAGGCATCTAAGTTCACTCCTGAGAATCACTGCCAGAACTCTGACCGTGTGTCCCACGCTAGTCAAGCTCTCCCGTAGAATAGTATTCTCCGCATGGTGCGGTGAGCGTGGACGACCCCGCATTAGAATTTTCAGATAGCCGACTTCTGCGTTCATTACCTAAGTTGTTGTTAGGCCGGCAGCTGTCTTAGTCGCCATGGTCGACCCCGTGGTCGAAGCAGGTGTAGAAGATACCCTGGAGGCGAGAGAGGCTGATGTTCGGGCACGCCACGAGGCTGGCGGGTACGGCGAGGCAGATTTGGAGATTCTGCTCCTTGGAACTCGTGCGAAGTGGGCGCGTGAGCACCCCCCTCCCCGTGCAGAAGCGGACGACACGTCCGCCTCTCCCCGACCCGTGCACAACGAAGGCGATGGCGGAAATGTGTCAAACTTATGCACTATAGTCTGTGTAGGCTGTAGTGGGGTAGCTTATATGGGGTACAACATTCTAGGGTTTGGCACTTGTACTCCTCATGCTGCTCAATGCAATCATTCTCGTTCTAAGTTTCACATGGTACAGAGCAGGTTCCCTCGTGGGAACTGTTCCTAGGGCCCACCGTAAGATTTTTTTTTTCCTGCACGGAGCGCACTCCGCCCCTGCTCGAGTCGCGCCCCCCCTCGCTTCTCTTAACGGCCCCGTCGCGCCGCCCTTTAGGCCCCGGCGCCGCCTCTGCTGGCTCCGACGCCCTCCTCTTGCGACCCCGCGGCCTTACCTTCGCGACCCCGCGGCCCCACCCTCGCGTCGCCCTGCGCGGCGTCGTTACAGCCGCCCGCGACCCCGACGCCGCCCGTCGCGGCCCCGTCGCCCTTCGCGCCGCCCGCGACCTCGTCGCCGCGGCCGCCCGCGACCCTACCGCTGCGGCCGCCCGCGACCCTGGCGTTGCAGCCGCCTCCGACCCTGTCGCCACAGACGCCCGCGACCCTACCGTCGCTGCCGCCCGCGACCCTGTTGTCGCAGCCGCCCGCGACCTCGTCGCCGCAGCTGCCTGCGCTCCCGTCGTCGCAGCCGCTCGCGACCCCTGTCGTCGCAGCCGCCCGCGACCCCGTCGCCCCACCCGTGCGACCCCACGACCGCCCTTTGCGGCCCCGTCGCCACACCTTCGCGGCCCCGCCGAGCAGCCGAGCCGCCGAGACGCCGCCGCCGCCGAGCCGCCGAGCCGCCGTTGCCGCCGAGCTGCCGAGCCGCCGAGCCGCCACTGCCGCCGTGCTGCCGAGCCGCCGAGACGCCGCCGCCGCTGAGCTGCCGAGCCGCTGAGCCGCCGAGCCGCCGCCCCTGCTGTCGCGGCCCTATTCCTACCGGCGCGCCTCGGTCCTTCTCGCCTGCCCGGTAAGAGCAGCGCCTCCACCACTGCTCTGCCCCTGCCTGCTGCTCTCACTGCTGGTCTACCGCTATCATGGCTTCCCCCAGTGTCCTCACCTTTGACGCTGAGGGCCGGGCCATTGACTTTGACGTCTGGGTAGATGACCTGCAGCTTTTCCTACTGAGCGACAGAGCAGACGGCCTCTCCCTCTTTGACCTCACTTCTGGTGCCTCTCCTGCCCCTGCTGCTGATGCTGACCCCACTGTTCGCTCCCAGTGGGCCACGCGCGATGCTGCTGCCCGCCTTGCTGTGCGCCGCCACTTGCCGACCGCTGAGCGTGCGCACTTTAGCCAGTACAAGAGTGCTAAGACCTTGTACGACGCTGTAGTTGCACGCTACTCTTCCCCTGCCACTGCTGCGCTTAGCCGCCTCATCCTACCGTACCTCTTCCCTGACCTCGCCGCTTTTCCCACTGTCGCTGACCTCATTACGCACCTTCGCACTAGTGACACTCGCTACCGCGCTGCGCTTCCTGCTGAGTTCTGCGCCAAGAACCCCCCCCCATGTACATCACCCTCTACTACATAGTCACCCGGCTCCCTGACACCCTTCGCCCGGTCAGGGACCACTTCCTCTCTGTTTGCCCCACCACCCTCACCGTTGACCTCCTCGAGGAGCGCCTTCTAGCGGCAGAGAAGAGCATAGTCGCAGTAGGTGCCTCTCGTGGTGACCCTCGTACCCCTGTCTTTGAGGGGTGCTCCCCCTCTCCCCTCTTGCCCTCTGTTGCCTCTGCTGCTGCGGCCGACCTCGTTGGTCTTGAGTCGGTCGCTGCGGCGTCTGCCCCTAGCGGGAGACGCCGCTCTGGCAAGGGCAAGGGGGGCAAGGGTGCTGGAGGAGCTGGAGGGGGCGGTGGAGGCGGAGGTGGAGGTGGTGGAGGGGGTGGGGGTGGCGGTGGGGGTGGTGGCGGGGGTGGGGGCGTCGGTGGCGGGACTGGAGGTGGAGGTGGAGGCGGCGGTGGCGGTGGGAGCGGAGGTGGCGGAGGTGGCGGTACTGGAGGAGGTAGCGGCGGAGGCGGTGGAGCTGGTCGGGGTGGCGCTGCGCAGAGGGGTGGCTCCGGTGGTGGTGCGCGCCAGCAGCAGCAGCAGCAGCGTACCCGTGAGACCCCTTCCCCCCAGCAGCTTCGTGAGTGGTACGCTGCTCGTCAGCGGGGCGGGGGTGCTGGCCCCTGTACCTACGTTCTCCGTACCGGCGACCGGGCGGGTGAGCAGTGTGGGGGCGCGCACCCCACCCAGCGCTGCTTCGGTCGTCTGACGGACGCGTGGCGCCACCAGTTCCCCGACGCTACTGAGATCCCTCGCTGGGGCGAGCTGTCTAGGGCGGGTGTTGCGATCTATGATCTTGATTTTGATGCTATTCTTGCTGCCATGTATGCTGTGACTATTAGTGATGAGGGTGACTGTTACCGGTGTTTTCCGCCTGACCCAGGCATAGAGGCTGCTGCGCTAGGTACTTGTGAGGCTGCTGCTCTAGGTGCCAGTGCGTCTGCCGCCCCAGGTGCCGGTGAGTTTGCGCTCTCAGGTGCTGAGTCGTCACCGCACACCCACACCTTCACCCTTGACTCGGGTGCTTCCCGCTCCTTCTTTCGAGACTGCACCACTCTCACACCGCTCAGTCGGCCTGTTGCAGTCTCCCTGGCGGACCCCTCTGGGGGTCCTGTCCTTGCTCACTACTCCACTGTCCTACCGTGTCCGGCGGTCCCGTCTGGCTCCCTGTCGGGTCTCTACCTCCCCTCGTTCTCTACGAACTTGGTAGCGGGTGCTGACCTCCAGGATGCAGGAGTTGACCAGTTCACCCCTGCGCGTCAGCGGGTGACCCACTGCACTTGTGCGGACACGGGCCGACACTTGGCCACGTTTGCTCGTCGGCCAGGGTCGAGCCTGTACACACTGACTACTGAGTCTCCTCCAGTCACTGAGTCTGCTCAGGTAGCAGCGTCGGGTCAGGTGTTTGCTGCGGCGTCCAGGTCTGGTCCTGAGTCTGCCCCCTGCTCGTGTCGTCTCCTGTCCCACCGGACTCTCCTCTGGCACCACCGCCTTGGTCACCCCTCCCTGCCTCGTCTTCGAGGCATGGCTTCCCGTCTTCTTGTCTCCGGCCTCCCCCGGTCCCTCCCTCCTCTTCCTCCGGGGCCTGCCCCCACCTGCGTTCCCTGCGTTGAGGGGCGGCAGCGCGCTGCCCCTCACTCCTCCGAGTTTCCTCCGACCGAGGCTCCGCTGCAGACGCTTCACATGGACGTGTGGGGCCCAGCCCGCGTCCGTGGGCAGGGTCAGGAGCGCTACTTCCTGCTGGTGGTTGACGACTACTCGCGTTACACCGCAGTCTTCCCCTTGCGCAGCAAGGGTGACGTCACTGAGGTGTTGATCGCCTGGATCCGCGCAGCTCGTCTCCAGCTCCAGGAGAGTTTCGGCTCCGACTTTCCTGTTCGGCGTCTGCACTCCGACAGAGGCGGAGAGTTCTCCTCTGACCTTCTGCGGGCTTCTGTCGCGCACGAGGCATCCGCCAGACCTTCTGTGGCCGTTTGCGGTTCGGTACGCGGCGCATCAGCTCAACCTTCACCCCCGGGTCTCCATGCCGGAGACCTCCCCTGCTTTACTGTGGACGGGGAAGGTTAGTGATGCGCCGCGTTTCCGGGTCTGGGGATCTAGGGCGTTTGTCCGCGACTTGTCTGCGGACAAGCTGTCCTCTCGTGCTGTTCCCTGCGTCTTCCTTGGCTTTCCCCCTGACGCGCCAGGCTGGCAGTTCTACCACCCCACCTCGCGCCGTGTCTTCGCGTCCCAGGACGTCACCTTTGACGAGTCGGTTCCCTACTACCGTCTCTTCCCCTACCGCACTGCGTCCCTCCCTCCCCCGCCGCTCTTCCTTACGCCAGGTCCCCCTCCGGTAGACCCCCTCCCCCCTCAGGGTCCTGCTCCCTCAGGTGTGTCCCAGGTAGATGCAGTTGAGCCAGTCGAGGTAGCTGTTGACTCTGGTGCTGCTGGTGGTGCTGAGCCTGGGGGTGCTGGGTCTGGGGGTGCTGCGCCTGGGGGTACTGAGCCTGGGGGTGCTGCGCCTGGGGGTGCTGCGCCTGGGGGTGCTGCGCCTGGGGGTGCTGAGCCTGGGGGTGCTAAGCCTGGGGGTGCTGAGCCTGGGGGTGCTGCGCCTGGGGGTGCTGCGCCTGGGGGTGCTGAGCCTGGGGGTGCTGAGTCTCGGAGTGCGGAGCCTGAGGGTGCTGGACCTGCTCGTCTGGCGTCTGGTGGTGCTGAGCCTGGCAGTTCTTCGGGTGCTTCGTCCCGGCGGGAGCTGCTCTCTCCACAGGAGCTGCGTGAGTGGTTCGCCCGGCGCTGGAGCCGTGCTGCTGGAGCTGGTGGTGCTGCAGGCGCTGGAGGTTCTACTGCTGCTGAGAGTGCTGGTGCCGAGGGTCCGAGAGGTGCTCGTACCGAGTGTACTGGAGCTGCTGGGCCTACGGGTGCTCCTCCTGCTGGAGCTGGTGGTGCTGCTGGCGTTGGTGCTGCTGGTGCTCCTGGAGCTGGAGCTGCTGCGTCTTCGGGTGGTCCGGCTGGAGCTGGAGCTACTGGGGGTGCTGGCACTGGAGGTGCTCCTGGCGCTGGTGCTGCTGAGGGTGCTGGAGTTGGAGCTGCTGGAGCTGGGGGTCCTCCTGGTGCTGGTGCTCCCGTTGGGGGTACTGGTGCTGTTCCTGCTGGCACTGGTGGCGCTGCGCGGCCGCGGCCGTACTTCGTTCCGCTCCTTGAGCAGGTTCTTGGTCTTCCGTCCTCTCTTGGTCCTGCTCCTCCCTTAGCGTGTCCGCCTCCTGTCCAGTCTGAGTCACAGTTACAGCCGGCCTCCCCGCTTCCTTCTCCCTCTCCCTACACTGGTCCTACTGGAGGTCTTGCTGAGCGTCGTGAGCCTGCGTCTCGCCCTGCGTCGCCTGTCCGTGCTGCTCGCACTAGTGGTCGTGGTTCGCGTCAGCGTCCTCCTCCTGTCCCCGGCACGCACCGGATGTCTCTGCGTCCTTCCACTGCTCCCCTGCGTGCCCCTTTGCCTTCTCCTCCAGCGTCCTCTCTTCCTGACCTTCCTGACCCTGAGTCGGACTCCCTTCGTGCTGCGCGTCCTACTGTCACGCGTCTCCTTGCTACTGTCGTCACTGACCCTTCCTTTGAGTCTACTGCTGCGTCTGCTCTGGTTGCTGAGCTTGTCGACTTCGCTGCTGTCTGTCGTCTAGACTACGCCGCTAGTCTTGTCGCTGAGTCTGAGTCTGTCTGTCCTCCGTCCGTCGGGGGTGAGTGTGCTCTTAGCACGGATGTCCTTGAGGACAGGCAGGAGGAGTTCCAGTGTCTTGCTGCTGCTGTACCCCATCTCGTGGCCATGCTGCTTGCCCCTGAGGGAGACCCGGATGCACTTGACATCCCGACTCCGCGCTCTTACGCGGAGGCGATAGAGGGTCCCTACTCCTCTCAGTGGCAGGCAGCCATGGACGCAGAGATGGCTTCCTGGAAGTCCACAAGCACCTACGTTGACGAGGTTCCCCCGCCTGGGGCGAACATCGTCAGTGGCATGTGGATTTTCAGGGTGAAGCGGCCGCCGGGTTCTCCGCTTGTCTTCAAGGTGCATTACGTGGCTCGTGGCTTCAGTCAGCGGCAGGGAGTTGACTACTTTCAGACCTTCTCTCCCACCCCGAAGATGACCACTCTTCGGGTACTGCTGCACATAGCCGCTCACCGAGACTACGAGCTTCACTCTCTTGACTTCAGCACTGCTTTCTTGCAGGGCAGCCTGCACGAGGAGATCTGGCTGCGCCGCCCACCTGGCTTCACTTGGTCGTTTCCTCCTGGTACCCAGTGGAGCCTTCGGCGGCCAGTCTACGGTCTCCGCCAGGCGCCGCGTGAGTGGCACGACACACTGAGGATTACACTTGCGGCTCTTGGGTTTGCTCCTTCTACTGCCGACCCGTCGCTGTTTCTGCGCACCGACTCTTCCTTGCCGCCGTTCTACATCCTCGTGTACGTTGACGACTTGGTCTTTGCTACAGCTGACACTACTGGACTTGCCTACGTGAAGTCCGAGCTGCAGAAGAGACACACGTGCACAGACCTGGGTGAACTGCGCAGCTACCTTGGCTTGCAGATCACCCGGGACAGAGCACAGCGCACCATTACCCTGACTCAGTCACACATGGTGCAGCAGGTCCTTCAGTGCTTCGGCTTCACGTACTCCTCGCCTCAGGCCACTCCTCTGCCTACACGCCACTCGCTCTCAGCTCTGCCTTCGGATGAGTCCGTAGAGTCGAGTGGCCCGTACCCAGAGCTTGTCGGCTGCCTCATGTACCTGATGACCTGCACTCGACCTGACCTTGCATACCCTCTTAGCATTCTGGCACGCTATGTTGCTCCTGGGAGACACAGACCAGAGCACATGGCTGCAGCGAAGAGGGTGTTGCGCTACTTGTGCAGTACGTCGGGCATGGGGCTTGTGCTTGGAGGGCAGAGTCCAGTGGTCCTCACTGGTCACGCAGACGCTTCTTGGGCTGACGACCAGGCTACGCAGCGGTCGTCACAGGGTTACACCTTCAGCCTTGGTTCCGGCTCTGTTTCGTGGCGGTCTACCCGCTCGTCTTCTGTTCTCGGCTCGAGCTGTGAGGCTGAGATCTACGCAGGGGCCATGGCTGCACAGGAGCTACGCTGGCTCACCTACCTGCTGACTGACCTGGGAGAGCCGCCTCGTTCTCCTCCAGTGCTGTACGTAGACAACAAGGCCATGCTGGCCTTGTGTCGGGAGCACAGACTGGAGCACAGAACGAAGCACATCGCTCTCCGCTACTTCCTTGCTCGTGAGCTGCAGCAGCGTGGTCAGCTGCGCCTTGCTTACGTGGCCTCTGAGGCCAACACTGCTGATATCTTCACCAAGGCACTCGCGCCTTGTGATCATCAGCGCTTCTGTACTCTGTTAGGTCTTGTGCCTACCTTGCCTCACTTGCTTACTTCTTGACCTTGCTTGTACTGTTACATATATATACCTGCCCTTGCTTGTTTAGCGTTATATATATGTACCCTTGCATGTGAACTGGCCTTCTGGCCTTGAACTTGTGCTCAGACTGTGTGGTGACGTTGTGATCCACCGTGAGCTTGCTTTGCTTTGCTTGACTGGTCTTGTGACCCCTTGTGCTCCCCCACTTTGCCTATGGGGGTGTGTCAAACTTATGCACTATAGTCTGTGTAGGCTGTAGTGGGGTAGCTTATATGGGGTACAACACCCTAGGGTTTGGCACTTGTACTCCTCATGCTGCTCAATGCAATCATTCTCGTTCTAAGTTTCACAAAATGTTGTCGGCGGTGGAAGCACGAGGGTTCGCGGAGTGATACGGCCTGCCGACGTCAGCATTGGCGGAGTGCAGGCGCAAGTGCTGCGATCGTCTGCGACTGGAGGCAGCTCGAACGGCAACATCGATGGTCGACGTCAATCTCCTCTGCGGAGTGGAGTCAGGCCAACTTCGGCGACTCATGCGTCAGCTGGTCGAGACGGAGGCATCGCGCCGGCGTATGGCTACTTCAAATTTTCGCCGGACAAGATCGCTGTGCCGAAGCCGCTCGAAGGACGCCACGACTTAATCACGTGGATTGAATCCATTGAACCGCAGCTGGAGATCGCCGGATTGAAGAAGTTCGTCGACGGCAATGTTGCGACGCCGGACACTGACGACTCTAAACTCTGGGCGGAATTTCGCGCCGCTCATCTACTAACCTTCATGGTCATTTCGAGGTGTTGTTCGCCTCTGGTGCAGGTCGCATTGACGTCGTGCAGACAACGCGTGGATGCTGGCTACCAAGCATGGCAGTACATCATGCGCACCTACAAAGCGACCGACGACCTCTACATCAGTCAACTCGAGAAGAAGTTGACCAACATTCGGATGGGGGAGCAGGAATCGGCGACCGAGTACTGCAATCGAGCGCGGCGAGTCTTGGCCGATCTGCGGATGGCCGGCGTCGACTACTCGGTGGCGTCGTATGTCACTCATGTCATCAGCGGCCTCCCCTCGAGCTACAATTTAATGCGCCGGATGCTCACAATTCCCGGCACGCGCGAGATTCTGAACGAGGACTCGCTCTCGAGCCACATCATCCAAGACGAGTTCATGCAGGAATCTGAGCGATCTGCAGAACTGCTTCCGCAGGCCAACTACGTCGCCCCGGCGAAGCAGGGACGCCAACAGGGGCAACGTGGGAAGTCTGCCGGAGGCGGTGGTGGGAAGGCATCGAACGTGAAATCGACGGAGGGCGCCGACCGCGGGAAGTTGGCGAAAGGAGGAGATCGCGGTGGCGGTGGCTCGCGTCGAGAAGGCTGCCGTTGCGACATGTGCGATGCTCCCGACCACCTCTCGTACGACTGCCCCGACCAAGACGAGTCTGACGACGACCGGGACGCCAATCACAAACAGGGAGAAGGTGGCCGTCATCGTTGGAACAACCAGCCGCGCAAGGAGAAGCAGCC